CCAGACCTCGGATCGACAACATATTTGGTACATATGTAGCATAGACCTCAGAGAAACTTTCTTGAGAGTTTTACGGTGAGTCTTATAAGTTTATAGAAGTCATGAAGTTTCACGGCAAGAACTACAAGTTCTGTTGTGTTTGAAATTAAAGTGCAGGTGGACGAAGAAATGATCTAAACCTTTTATCGGCTATTTCTTCAGATGTCGTTAGTAGCATTCGATTTTCCTGATATGATACGACATTTTAATACCAAGCATTCTCTCTTTCTTTTACATTTGGAATTTATTTGATTTTTATTTAGAATTAATCAGTTTCCAGAAATAGCGATTTTCTGTATATTAAAAACAATTCTCGCTTTCATTGTCGTGTTTCCCTTCTAAAAATGCATGTTGGGAGTTTAATTTGTGCTACACATATTTAATTTAACCCAAAGAAATGCTTATTTAAATGTTTCATATTTATTTCAGGATATTCAGTCAGAAATGTTAAAATCCGAACCCGATCTTTTAAGCTTACAACAAAGCTATTTTCAAAAAATTCAGCATGCTCACAATATCGATGAATCGGGCTACAGTCCATTAATACATTTTCATTAGGGAACAAGGGAACAGTGTTAACGTTTTCTCACGCACACCCGTCCCTTGTTATTTTATATAATGCTTGCAAGTTCAGGAACTATTTCCTTTTACTGAACTTTTTTCTTCCCCTACCGATTCTAAAAATACGCTTGTATTTATTCTATAGTCTTAAACAATTAACTTACTCAATTTTATCGGAATGTGTAGCGCAGTGGTTAGAACACCTGCCTTTCAAACCAAGGGTTTTGAGTTCGATCCCAGGTGGAGGAGGTTTTTTTTTTTTTTTTTTTTTTTTTTTTTTTTTTTTTTTGCTTTTTTGGCATTTTTCTTTTTTACGGCCTAAACGACACGAAAACACTTAAAAATGGTGGAAAGGCCTCTAATTGTTCTCTGAACAATTAGTTTACTTGTTATTATTAAGGTCTTTCGATATATATGATAAGATATGAATATGAAACTTGCTGAGGTGATAGAACATCAAATGTAGATATGTTGATCGACCATTATTTACCGTCGTTCGAAGTTCCGGTCGCAAACGGAAGTGAATTCAAAAATGTTAAATTTGTAACTTTTTTGTTTTTCAATATTTTTCTCTGGGATTTACAGGGTTAATAGAGAGTCTTCGAAGAGTTCTAAATTTGTTTTTATCATTTTGATTGATGCATTTGTTGCAAAGATATGTAATACAAAGATAGATTACATGATCAGTACGTACTGGTCCCTGCTGACAAAGCAGGTAACAACATTGTCTTTGTTTGTAAGACTTATTATATTAAATGTATTTTAGAGGAACTTGGATTTAATTTTACAAGTGGTAATCCAACTTATACTCATAGTTCCCTTTCTAAGGAAGAACTTCTTCAAAATCATATGTCAGTTTTGAATATTTTTAATATTCCAAACAACCAAAATGAATTCGAATTACCATATTAATATTGGATTCCGAAACTTCATAAAAATCCTTACAAACAAAGATACATAGCGGGTTCCAGTATATGTTCAACCAAGCCTCTATCTTTACTCCTCACTAAGATATTAACAGTGGTAAAGGAGAAACTTCAAGTTACTGTGCAACAATATATTCGAGAAGTGGTGTAAATCAGATGTGGATACTTAAAAATTCCAAGGAACTTTTGGAAAATTTGAAATCAAAAGATTTTACCAAAATCAACAGCTTTAAAACTTACGACTTTTCAACTTTATACACAACCATTCCCCACGATAAATTAAAGTCCAGGCTTTTTGATATCATTGACAGCTGCTTTTTCAATAAAAATGGAACTCGTAAATATACTTACCTTGTCATTGGTCATTTGCAAAATTATTTTGTTAAAAAACATTCTGACTGTACACACAAGTACTCTGAAGTTGACATTAAAAAGATGCTTGAGTTTCTGATTGACAATATCTATGTGGTTTTTGGAGACCAGGTCTTCCAACAATCTATTGGAATTCCCATGGGTACCAATTGCGCCCCGTTATTAGCAGACCTTTTTTTGTATTCATATGAAGCAGAATTTGTCCAAAATCTTGTACGTGAAAAGAAGAAAACACTTGCTGTCGTCTTCAACTCGACATTTAGATATATCGACGACGTATTGTCAATTAACAATGTCTATTTCCATTCTTATGTCGATACGATATATCCTGGTGAACTTGAGATAAAAGATACCACAGAGTCTGAAACATCTGTTTCATATTTGGATATTTTACTTGAAAAAGATGTTAATGGTAATCTAACAACCAAGCTTTATGATAAACGTGATGACTTTAACTTTTCAATCGTCAACTTCCCTTACTTATGCAGCAATATACCTTCATCACCTGCATACGGGGTATATATCTCTCAGTTGATTCGATACGCAAGAGCATGCTCTACGTATCTACAATTTCTAAAACGAGGTAAATTATTGACAAATAAGTTGATGAAACAAGAATATCAGCTGTCTCGTTTAAAGTCATCATTTCGTAAGTTCTATGGTCGATACAATGACCTTGTCAGCAAATACAATTTATCATTGAGTCAAATGCTGACTGACGTTTTTCATACTAATTGTTAGACCATTATTTACACACTGAATTGTCGACGGATTTTTCCGTGATTTCCCTATCATGACAAGGAGCACACGGCGGAAGTGACCGGTCGGCAGGGGATGCTCACTCCTCCATGGCACCTGATCCCACCTCTGATGTTTGGAGGTCCGTGTTTGCTCTGCTCCTATTTTGTATTGTTTAATGGACTTTTGAGCTTGAATACTGTTCGTTATCTCCATATCTTTCATATGACCGCATTTATTGCAAAGATATGACCGATCCAAACTTTCTCGTATTGTTGCGGATTCGAATCCTGCTGGGGCGGGAGATTGTTTCTCTCTTTTTTCAGTTGTAAATGATATTTTTCTCTGTGAAGACATGTGTGATAGTTTTTTTTAAAGCTTTTTTAACAGAGATTCTACAGAAATCCTTTAATAATCATGATCTATGTTGAAAGACTGTGTTACATAAACGCAAACAAAAAATACCTTCAATAAAGTATTAAATGAAGTGAGGTAGCACAGCGATCTGGAGAAAAGTTCGGTCGGAAGACCACTTGTTGCCCTAGCAACAAGAAACGCATCTAGTTATGATATTTTTTTTTTCAACAATCAATTTGCAGAGTGTCATGTCTCACAAAGATGACAGATAGTTGCAAACTATTTTTTCAATGTAATAAAAAACACTGTAATTATTAGTGTTGATGTTTTATTAGGCTGCACCTTAGTTTCATTCATTAAAATAAAGTGCCCCACCACAGCATTATACGCCCATCAAATATTGTTAAATTATCATAAACAGTTTAGATTGAATTGGTCGAATGACATCTTAGTGAGACAAGGCAGTCTGCAATTTGTTGTAAAGATATAAAAATTCAAATAAAAAATGTACAATAAATAATTAGTTTAAATTATATTATACAATATCATATAAGTTTTAATTATTATAAACAATATCAAATTAGTTTTAATTACATCAAATTTATCTTGAAAGTAAGACTAGCCAACAAGAACAATTCAATACAACACAAGCAATTAATTAAGAGACTGATTCCTTTTGCCCATTTCCCAAGAGATGTAGATAACACCTGCTTGATCAGAGATGCTCTACCAGTTATCATCTCACACTAAACTCATTAATTTATCTCTAATTTGACATGCAATTTTCTGCTATCAAAATTTTCCTTGACCAGTGCCTGATCATTACACCCATGGGAGAGGTGGAATTTTTCTTGTTACAGATTGCTGTAAAGAACATAATGAAAAAAATAAGACTAGTATTTTCTTGATTTAACACTTTTTTAATAAAGATACTGCAATACTCTGACATCTTTTGGGATTGTGTAATTTAAAAGTTAAAAGACATAGTTTTTTTTATTCTAAGTCTAATGGTTTTCTAGTTATGATTTTTCCATATTTAGCCATAGCGTCTTTATTAAAGGTCAGAGCGACCTGGTTTTGATGTGAGACACACCTTCTACCCTAGATGTATCAGCTGACAAAGTTTGATAATTCTAGGCCTAATAGTATTGAAGTTATGAGCCGGACATGAAAAAGCTAACTGACGGACGGACATGAACGCTATAACATAATACGTCCCGTCTTAAGACGGACATATAAAAAATATAATGAGTAATTAAATTTTCACTGGAAATGTTTAAGGAAATTGTGAACACCTCTCACATCTAGAAAACATTAGTGATTTGGTACTTTCTCTGAAAAACCCAGCGGGGGGTATTTGTCCCTATTGGACAGTTCTAGTTCGTAATATATATATCATCATTTTAATCAAAACTATAAGGCTTTTCAATGTACACTGTTTTTTTTTACCCCATGATCCACACCCGGTCATGTGACAATACGTTAGCGCTTAAAAATTTTTCTGCACGTGCAGAGACATCAACGGCGCGGATTTTGCAGCAGAAGTGGGGTAGATGCATCACACTGATGATGAATAGGCCTATGTGTTTGATGCTGATTATTGTTTTTAACTTTGTGTTAAATGAAACGGGTGCCTTTCCTCTGAATTGTGGAATTTGCATTTCAAATGGAGACGGTGCAGCGGACTGCAGTCGAACATCCTTGACATGTATTCGCGTATTTAGTCCTGACAGTGAAACAAGGATTCGAGAAGTATATGTATCGAGGTGTTCTCAGAAAATATTCCCCAGAAAGTGGCAGAAGTTTACAAAGAAACTTGGGCCTGGGAATGCAGTGTCATGCAATGGTAAATTTGTTTATTATTTATCTATTAATTGATACCCACGCGGCGCAAGTAATACATATACACATATAGTATGCAGATAAAATTTCTTATATTAGGTGCATTGTTTAGGAATTAATTTGTTGCTCTCACACGGTTGGGGATACTTACAGCGCTAAATAGCCATGACAAGGTTGAGTTTATTTTTAGCAGAGGAATCCCCAGACCTGTTTTTTTCGGAACACCTCGGTAGTTCAGGTTTCGATCACGTGAACACTTCATGGTTGTGATGGTACAACTCGTGAAACTATCGATGTGTGTGTGTAGTTGCAGGTGTAAGAGACACAACATATCTTTGTATTAGGTCTATTAATGGTAGAATTTGTACAAGCTAACTTCATCGCTTTTGCTCGGACATTGACATCATGCATCACAGTGTAGAGGGCGACACGATATGAACTTTTCATACCCAGAGTTATCGTTCGTACCTCACAGCTGTATAAATGTGGTACGAACGATAACTCTGGGTAGAGATTGATATTGTGTATTTTAGATTTACTTCCGTTTGCTAAGAAACCAGGGTTAGACATTGACAGAGGTAATTATTGTATATTATGTTGAAAAAAAAACACCAATGAATGAATGGTGTAAGAATGTCAAAGGACGTTACACTGTAACAAATCAAGGTCAAGATCAAGTTTCATGGAAAGATTAAGTTTATTGGGGTTTTTTTAAGCCGAGGAATCCCTAGACCTGGTTTCGGTACTTAATAGTCTCAGTCACCTAAACTTTTGGGGATGCTCAGACGACAACTAAATAAACATGAGACATTATGCATACATGTATCTTTAGAAAAAAAAAACGTCAAGCGCCTTGCCTGAGGGACCCAGTTTATCCATGAAAAAAAATTAATTTATGTTTACAATTAGAATTGCAGTGGTATTTATCCATAGAGCAGAAATAATTTTTGACATATGTTAAATGTGTCTATCTGAGAGTGGATGCTGATATTAATAATGGTGTGCGCTGTTAATGACGTGGTTTATGCCCATGTGTGTGTGTGTGTGTGTGTGTGTGAACTCAGCTGTCTATCAATAGCATAACTTTATATTTACAGCTCCAACTTCCATGAGGGTACCGCAGTCTATCGAGGAGTCAGTTACTACAGTCCGACCCTCCACCATTACCGAGGAGTCAGTTACTACAGTCCGACCCACCACCATTGCCGAGGAGTCGGTTACAACAGTCCGACCCACCACCATTACCGAGGAGTCAGTTACTACAGTCCGACCCACCACCATTACCGAGGAGTCAGTTACAACAGTCCGACCCTCCACCATTACCGAGGAGTTAGTTACTACAGTCCGACCCTCCACCATTGCCGAGGAGTCAGTTACTACAGTCCGACCCACCACCATTACCGAGGAGTCAGTTACTACAGTCCGACCCTCCACCATTACCGAGGAGTTAGTTACTACAGTCCGACCCTCCACCATTGCCGAGGAGTCAGTTACTACAGTCCGACCCTCCACCATTGCCGAGGAGTCAGTTACTACAGTCCGACCCTCCACCATTGCCGAGGAGTCAGTTACTACAGTCCGACCCTCCACCACTGCCGAGGAGTCAGTTACTACAGTCCGACCCTCCACCATTGTCGAGGAGTCAGTTACTACAGTCCGACCCTCCACCATTGCCGAGGAGTTAGTTACTACAGTCCGACCCTCCACAGTCCAACCCTACACTGCTGTCAGAGAAGATTCTACCGTATTTGCATTATGGAATGCAAGTGAGTTATTCTTATTATTTCATCACTTTTACATTAAAGATAATTCACTTAATTTTACAGCTGATGTATTATTTTTTTTTATCCAGTAGAATTATTTATTATCATTTAATAAGGGAGTTTTTTTTTTAAATTCTCATATGATTGTGAACTATTTTTTTATTTTTATTTTTTTTTATTTTTGAAAATGTAGGAACTCATCTGAAGAGAAAGACAACGACGGAACCACCAGAGAAGGATACCATTTTTGATGAGCCTGAAGTTAAAGGTCAGACCCCCATTCTGATGTATACAATTCTAGTGATGTGTAGTTGTACATTTGTATGTATAATATTTGCAATAGGTGTATCTGTGAAAGAAAAACTTTAATGTCCTTGTGAAATGCAATCCATGAAGAGTAAATCCAGAAAAAATTTCTTGGGGTCGAAATAAAATATATAAATTGAGACAAAAATCTGAACTAGACCATGAAAGAATATATTCAAGCTGTTCAGATGATAGAGACAATAAAAAAAACAATTTTATGTTCACACTTTCTGTATGTATATTTGTGTATTTTTTCTACATCAATAGGATTCTTCATATGGGCAGTTGCTGCAACAATGGCTATTGTCATTGTCTTGTTGAGGAGATGTATACGAGAACATGGGTATTGTCAATGCTGTAGATGCATTACACCTACACCTGCGCCACCCACCTCTGGTAATCTTAGCACGCAAACAGAAGAGATTGAACTTAGCTCCTATTCCACACCTTATGCTTCTGAGATATCATCTTCCACGATTCTTCCAAAAACGTCAACACCCAGTAAAGACCCATCGACAAGCATGTTAAGTGTTACAGACCAAGCATCCTCTGTGACCGATCTGACCACAACATCCGTAGAAAGTACAAATCCTCTCCTACCTGTGGCATCACGTACCAGGTCTCAGACCAAACAATTGAAGTTTTGAGTGATGTTTTAAAAGCCTGGGGGAAAAAAGTTTTCTTTTTTTTTTATTGATGTACTTGGAAAATTTATATAATTAAAGGGGAACATTATGGCATAGAGCGAAAGAGAGGTTATGATGGGGATAATAATAAGACTTCCCTTAAAAAAGATTTGTTTATAAAGTACTATGTTGTTTTGCAAACTTGAGTTTGCATGTTGTTTTTTAAGGAGAATAAGTCATGTTTGTTATATTTTTTGGTACTAGTTATCATACCTGATTGGGTTTTTTTTCAAATTTTCAGGATTTACTACTTTTGTTCTTGGGAGAATATGAAGGAATCTATATTTTTTAGGGTAATCTTTTAACTAAGAAAAAATCAATTTTTTTCTTTTTAATTATTGTACTGTTGTGAACAATAGGAAATGTTTGTTAATTTTTGAAGCATACTCATATGTTTATATTTCACTAGCCTATGATTGGATGTTTTTGCTGTGATAGGTTAATTACAGAAATATTAATACAGTATAGTATTATCTTGATGATTTTGTACTTTGTTAAAAAAATGTGTTTACTACATGCTGAAAAAAAAAGAATCTGGTCAGATACTTTTTTTCTATTAATATCATTTTACAATTTTTATAGAAAGTTTGCTATTTGTGTAATATTTACATATATTGATAGTTTTAAAGCACCCTATCAACTGTTATTGATGGTATTGCCCCCTACACTTCTTTACTAGTTGGTCTTTGAAGGAGGCAAATTTTCTGGGTAATTTTTTAATTTTCTAATGAAAAAAAAATAGGGTCAGGGTGAAAAAATAGGGTTGTGTGACAGTAAACACTTTTTTTTTTACCTGATGGAGTTTTTTTGAAAAAAAAAAAAAAAAGATGTTTATTTCATTTTTACTGTGTAGAGGAACATGTGATTTTATCTACCTCTTTTTATTTCACATTTTATATCAAGTTATTGTATTGTCATTAAAAGTTTTTTGGTAAAGTTCAATTGTTGGTTTATTTTTTCTAATCTATGAATCACTCTGCTATTCTACAAAGGTTCCATATATGATAATTCTGTGGTTGATAATTTGCATGAAAGGGTATCTTTTTTTTCATGGTTTCCACAAGATCAAACTTATTATTGGGCCCAAAACCTGACCAGTTGATATGTTAAACAACTAACCCAGCAGGCATACTACGTTGATACAACGTCAAATCAACGTTGAATTTAGGTTAAGACGTTGATTAAACGTGGATTCAACGTTCATTCAACACAATTTGCCTGTTGGGAAATGAGTGGATATATTATTATTTAAATGTCAATTTTATCAATTTGATTGTGTGGGTCAAAATTAATGTTTTAATGGAAATCCTATCACAAAAACAACTGTGCTACAAGTTAAAAAATTTGTTTTGTTTTTTCAAAAAAAATTTTTTTTTTACAATTGAAGACATGGCTGACAATCTGTTAAAGGAAATTCTGGATTCTTTAACTGAGGTAGACACCATCAATCTCTTCGCTGCAGCCAATGGTTTAACCGGAGATGCTGAGGTTGAGAACCGCATAAGGGAAGTAGAATGGAATCATCATATTGACAATTTATGGGAAGAAGTTCTGCTTGATCTGGAATCTGCTCCAAAGAGACCGAGGCAATCGGATGAAGATGATCAACCATGTACAAGCTTTCAGTTTGGGGGTGGGGATGAAATCAAAGAGAAACCTTACTACATTTGGAAGAAGGATATCCGAACCTTCAAAATGAACCTGGCCCGCGATACGAGTTTTAAGGTCAAATTTAATGATCAATGGAGAGGAGAAAAATTGGTCGACATTTACCAAAAAATGCACGACATATTCGATGATGTGTTGTCGCAGGCCCGAGGACATGATGCCGATTTGGGTCGGGTTGTACTCAGTCACCCGAATTTGAACAACTCTATCGTCGTCCCACTGCAGTCGTGGGAAAATCTCAATGCCGATACGGTGATGTCCGAGATAACAAAAGTATTAAACTCCAATGAAACAATACCTGTTGATGAACATTTACTTGTCACTGTAGGATCCATTGATTTACCAAAGGGTGGGGGTTGGAGTGGGAATAAGTTACCCGTAACGTCCCTCTTTGGGCCCGGCAATTCGTTGATTAAAAAGAAATCTATCTTGTATGTTGAAAATGACAACAATCTTTGTCTACTCATTTCTATAGGCATTTGTTTCATGAAGATATGCAAGAAAGTAGACGCCACAACGTGGTCACAGTTAATTGGAAATGACCCTGGGACGACAATGGATCACGTGATTCAACACAAAACCGTTCCCAAGTGGTATTACGGTAATATGCTTAAAAAATCACGCAAGAAATGTCAAACGTCCATGGCACTAGAGCTCTGTAAAAGAGCAGGTGTTCCAGCCAACAGATATCTGGGGTTAAATGACATTGAACCTTTCGAAAATTTGTTGAATGTCAGCATCAACGTGGTGTCATCTCGAGTCGGCAACAAATTTATCAGAGTCATCGAAGATACTGATCGAAGTCGATTATATTTGTACCATGTGGAAACAGAAAATGAAAAACATTGGCACGGTATTGGTAGTATACAGGGCTTTTTCAACGTGTCTTATTTTTGCCATACTTGTTTGAAAGCTTATAAAAACAAACATAACCACACGTGTTCAACCTCCTGTGATGTGTGTTTACACGATGCCTGTCCAAAGACACAAATTAATCAAGTAGGATGTATAACCTGTGGTCGTGTGTGCCATTCAATTGCCTGTTTTGAAAGACACAAAGTCGGTAAAAGACTTCACAATAATGAAACCATCCCACCTGTCTGTGATTTATGGCATCAATGTAAGAAATGTCGCGTCAAACTGTCCGTGTCTAAACGTGATCCTAAGTTACACGTATGTGGAGAATGGCAATGCCGCAGCTGTTCCGAATACCACGTAGGTGAACACCTCTGTTTTCAGAAGTCCACTGATTCTGATCCAGGGGAGCGAGAGAAAAAAAATTCATTTTCTACGACTTCGAAACACGCCAAGATGATATTTTTCAATGCGAACAGGGTTACACTCCTGCTCGCATTAGATGCCGTGAATGCGTGAGAAACGACCACCCGTGTGTAAATTGTAGGCTCTGCCGGCATTGTGAGGACCCGTCTTGTGGGCTACAGCAACATAAAGTTAACTTTGCGGTACTACAGACCTCCTGCCACGTCTGTGAAAAGGAAGAATTAAACAAAGATTCCACATGCGTTAATTGCGGTGAACGTTGTCACAAGTGTGCTAAAATGAAAAAATCAAAGTTTGTCGGTCCCCCCTGTCCAGATACTTGTGGTCATCGGGAACTGATCTTTCGCGGCGAAAGGACCGCAAAAGAGTTTTGTGCCTTTGTGTGTCAACCACACATGAAGAACACCATTTTAATTGCCCACAATGCTAAAAGCTTTGACTTATATCCGATTTTAGGAGTTCTTATTGATAGACATTCGATTCGACCAGATAAAATCATTTACAATGGGTCAAAAGTAATGTATATGCACATCGCAAACAAATTGAATCTCACGTTTTTGGATTCGTTAAATTTCCTTCCCAGGAAATTGGCAAAGATTCCAGACGCATTTGGCTTAGAGGAACTTAGCAAGGGATTCTTTCCTCTTTTTTTCAATACAAAAGAAAATCAGACTTACGTGGGTCCCTACCCTGCTCTACAATTTTACGGATACGATTTCATGTCGTCGGGAGAAAGAAAAAAGTTAGCCTCGTGGCATGCAAGCAAGAGTTCCGAAGTTTTTAACTTTCAAGAAGAAATGTTAAAGTACTGTCGCTCCGACGTGGATATACTGAGAAGGGGTTGTATAGCCTTTCGAAATACCGTCCTTCAAGCCACGACAAGAGAGAGTTCAAGTGTTCAACCCGATGGCACGATTTCAAAGACTACCATTGAGGGTGTGGACCCCTTTGCCTATGTAACGATCGCCAGTGTGTGCATGGGTATTTACAAAACTTTATTTCTCAAGCACAATGTTGAAGTTGAAATTACGAGAGACTTGACGTCCACTTGGCAGGCGTTGGATGACTGTGAGGGGGTGACGGGCGTATGGCTCGATGGAAAATGGAGTGCTCTCAGTGACCTAAAAAAAGAAGACAACACGGAAGTGGGGAAACAACGTTTGAAAAGCCCCATAGCTGTCGTACCGTCTCAGGGATACGTCAGCAAGGATCATTACAGTAAAGTATCCATTCAATGGTTAGAATGGTTGATGTACCGAAGTCG